GAAAACGTAACTGTTTCAATATACAAGAAAATTCAATTAAGTGTAATGCTTAAACCAGCCGTTTCAGAAAATGCAAATTAACTAGTTTTTCTGTCTTGAAAAATTGGAGCGTGGATTCTTTTTGAGTAGTGATTTTAAAAGAATTATGTGGGTGGCAGCAACCAGGAAGCGGCTAAGCTAATTTGCATGCAAAATTATAGAGCTGCCACTCCTGGGCAGCTCATCTTCGGCAACTGGGTGGGAATGGCTCACATTTTCGTAAGGGAAGTTTATTCAGAATTTGGGGTCCAAGTCTAGGCATATTGCCAAAGAGTTCAATCGATACTCTACATTAGTTGGTTCATGGCAAGTATGGTTTTATGCGGTGAAATTCGAACCTTGGACTTCAGTGTTTGTGTATATAACAGTGGAATTCCCATGCATTGTAGAATAATATTCATAAAAATAATCAAACTGCAATACAGTAATGTTCCACAACTCGATGCAGCGTACTTCAAAGTATGAAATCAGTCGGTGCTTTTCACAACTAATATGCAAATGACTCAAGTTTTGACGCATTTAACTGGGTAATATTGATTTGCATCAAATGGAAAAGCCACTTTAACAGACGTTTTGAATTCGGCTTATTCAGTGAAACAATGGCATCAACCTACACATTAGGGTGCAAACTCAGTTTCACTTGTCTTAGTCCCACTCCAACACACGTGTGATCCCTGCATTAATTTCAGCTCGTATAGCCAGGCGTGTAGGAGTGAGTAGGCCCTCGCTAACGTCTGACAGTCTCGGCTGCGAGATCAATACTGCGAATTTGCGAGTTTACATCGCCTTACAAGGAGTTCAATGAATATTCATTTTGGTGGTCATGGTAAGTTTGTCAAAGCAGTGTTTGTTTTCTACAAGATAAACATTGGCCAGCACCTTATCACAACTGTCGTGCATGGTTATTTTTTTGATGGCTGTCACTATCTGACATTCTTGCAATTTTATTGGTACCGTCAAAAAAAAACGTTCAGCTAATAATGCTCCTGAATTTAAATTTCTCTCCTACAGCAAATTTGTTTATGGTCGTTGAACCACGAGTACCCTACACCTCATCTAGATGCCAGTCACCATTCGATTATCCAAAAGTTTGTCAATGCAAAAAAGAAACTCAACAAATTATTAAACTTCATTTATTAACCATTATATTATATTGCAGCACGATTTATTCTTCCAATAAAATTACTGTAGTTTCTAATCATTGTATTATTTCTGGGGTATATCAATTTGCATAATTTTGAGTTGCCAGCAACTATATAATCTTCAGACATTATGAATTGCACATCCCGGTGAAGTTTCTTCAAAATTAAAGCCTTGACATGTTCATCAAATACTTGTTATATTCCTAGAGATATAATATATACATTAAACATCATAAATTGCGGTCTAAATTTTCCTTAATTATGATAAAGGAATAAACACCCCAGAGGTATGATTCATTTTTAAAGTAATTCAGAGACTCAGAACTAACTTTATAACACCAAAAAATCATATTGGTGGAACAGACAAGCAAAAGAACACACAGATGGGGTAGCAGCAGTGACATGATGGCACTCTAAGAAACAATCAAAACTATGCATATGGATCTGCTCGATGATCTTGCGATATTAGCAAGACAAATACCTTTCAAATTTTATTTATCACTTAACATGTCAAAAACTTTAAACAAAAATTTGGCCAACAATACAACTTTAACCCACCTATTCCTAAGCAGCATTCTCAGAACTCCTTATCTGAACTAATTCTTCAAATGAATTGTCAATTGGTTGATCCCTGACATCATTACTGGAGGATATCCTCATTTGCTTCTTGGCTGGAGAATCTAATTCTTCACCTAAAAATATCTTTCTCTTTTCTCGTTTTGACCTTTTTATATTATTCGCAACAGTTACTTGTTTGTGAACATTCTGCTCACAGTTGTACTTGTCTATTTGAATATCTGTTACAACAGCATTCTGGTATTTAACATTATTCAGTTGGCTGGTACCAGTTCTGAGAGCA